TTTAGGACCCTATCTCTGGGGAAAAGTAGACAAAGACCTTCGCAACAAAACAAGCCTTCGTGAATTTAAACAAGCAGTTCGGGCCATGTACCTAACAGATGTGTTGGACGGAAGATGCAGCTGCTATGCTTGCTCAACATAATAAAAATACAACCAATTTAAGTAATCTTGAACTTATTTTTAACTAATTAGACCTATAAAACAAATTTTTAATTATTAACTACCTATATATTTTATATAATATTAGTATTTTATATTTTATATTTGTATTTATGTTAGTGTCCCCAATTAATTATCTTAAGCTAAATACTCCGACACTCAAATAAAGTTTATGTATGTATGTATGTATGTATGTATGTATGTATGTATGTATGTATGTATGTATGTATGTATGTCCATTTCCTATTCTTGATATTGAATACCAATAATTACTGTATTTATTATAACTGTGTCTTTTCACAATTTCTTTCACCATTAGCCCTACTTATCACTAGTTCGACTCATTTTACTTACTTATGTGATTCAGTGTTAAACTAATTTTATTCTTTCTTTCTATTGTGACTTAATGTATTATTTCTCAATGCCCGCCACGATTAGCCTACGCTACACGCGAGTAGTGTAAATTGTAATTTGAAATTTGTAATGGAAATAAATGAACTGTAAACTTTGCGTACCAATTCGCTACTGTATTGTACTGGTTTTCGAAGTTATGGTCATGATTACGCTTTATCCTGTGAGCCTCAGTTAATATTCGATGAAAGTTTTTTTTCTTTTCTGTATTGCTGGATTTACAAGATAGTTGCAGGCAAGCTCAGGTAGGACCCTGAGTAATGCACCAAGCTGTTGGAGCGAATCTGAAATCGTTGCAGAAAAGGTTTGCTTTCTGGTCGGAACTGTAATGAAAAAGCATAGTTTATTTAGGAAGCAAATGACGTCGTTTCTCCTGATTAACACAAAGTATGCGTGGTTTTGAAATAGTAACTGCTGTTTGCTGTGAACATAAAAAAGGATAGCCCATTTCTGTATAGGCATGTTTCACCGCAGAGTATTTTCATTAGTGTAAAATGATTGTTTGCCTGATTATATTTAAATAAGAAGAGCTGACAATAAAAGATATTCATTTATGTGCTCAATTAAATCTTTAATCGTATCTATAACGAAATTCTTGATCGTGATTAGTTCTCCGCGCACCTATTTGCCCCAAATCGGCGCGCGATCACATGGATGTCCAATTACAGGTATCCAATTTGAACTTTTTGTAATTGGACACCTGTAATTGGATACCCACGTGATTCGCACGTCAATTTCGTGCGCTTTAATGGCTTTCAGTTTGCAATGTTTCCTACAGTTTTCAAAACTTATGAAACGCTGTATCGTTTTCGCTCAAAAGAAGTTCTCAAAAGACAGTTTTAATTCCGAAATTTGTTTTAGACACGATTAATCAGTAATTGGACCCCGTGTCGTAAAATTTAGGGAGTAATGGTGCTTGTAATTTCAAATCGGATTCGCTCTTCGCGCTTGTCCGATTTTGAAATTACTCGCGCGATTACTCCCTGAATTGTACGACACGAGGTCCAATTACTATTACTTATGAAAACCTCATTTTTTTTTTATATAGATATTGGTTTAGTGATCAAGCGTGAGGGCGGCATGGCTAAATATTGACCAATTAAGTTTATCTTTTTTATGAACCGAGACGGAACCGAGGTCCGATTAGTATTTGGAAAACACTATTCTGGAAAGAAAGGGTGCTTCCTAAGGGGGCTGTGCGACGACCCAAAAAAGTGACCGAGCATCTTGTAGGCGATCCCCAAGTTTACAAAATCAAGTTGGTCCCTAGCTTACGAGAAGCGCGTAGAAAACCAAAGTAAACTAGTAAATTTGTACAAACTTTACAAATGTAACTTGACTGTTCCTTTACAATTTACAACTTTAGCTAACTTTTTGAATTGAGGACGTTCGCGCGAAAATTTTCCTGTCGATAGATTTCTTTTAAGATTAAACTGCAATCAGATAATGAGTTACTTGTGTCAGAAATGCAAAAAAAAATTGAGGGTCACCGACTTCGTTTCACAGATATAGCGTGTGGAAAACTACCCTGATTTTGAAAAATTGACGCACGGTCAGCATGGTCTACAGGGGTTTATAGTTAAAAATATCGAAGGTGAGTCAACGGAGGCAAAAATTTAAGGTGGTTCTGAACCCTATGTACAGATTTGCCAAAAGTTGCGTCTTATCATGCTTATTAAAATTTGATAATATAAAAAAATCTCACCGTGCCGTTTTTGAATTATAAGCCCCTAAAGCTGTGATTAAGGGTGTTTTTAGCAGCTAATACTGTTGCTATGGTAACCCATTGTGTCACGAAAATGATAACAACGTGTTCACCACTGATTGGGCAGCTTTTTGATACCATGATTGTAGCCTCAAGTGATAAAGAGTGGATATAATGACCCATCCAAATCTAACTTGTAGAAACTGTTTTGAAGCACCTTACGGTGATTCGACAGAATTCCATTGCGCATCCCTACTGCGTACTATTTTCGCGTCATTAGCGCTCGCGAGCGAGCGCATGCACATACACAACATTTAACAAATGGTAAACGCCATAGCGTGCACAATATATAATAACCCAAGTTATTCTCGCATTTTGATTGGTTCTCGCCTATGATCTATTAGAGGACAGACGCACGATTGACGTCGTCATTTCAAAGTTTTTCCCTCTGTGTTTTGAAATGGCGGAAAGTTTTAAGAATTTAGATAATATTTTACATGACTGGGCAAAAGATAAGGTACAAGAAAGTCTTGTCCTGGCATTGAACAGGTACCAGAAGCATAGTATAGCAGGAAGAAGAAAGATAAAGCCGTTTCTGTTGTAGAAAATGACTCAGAAAAAATACTCGAGCAGTCT